CTTGGCCTTTTCCACGGAGTCTCGTTGTCTCGGTCCCCATTGCCATACTTTATTTTTTTCTAAGAGCTCGTAAAGCGGTGCCAGCAGGGTAGACATATTTGGCAAAAACCGATGATAATACGTCAACAATCCAATAAAGGCCCGGAGCTCGCTGACGTTCGTAGGGCTTGGGGCCTGTCGGATGGCGTCCAGATTCTTCTCGATGGGGTGAAGCCCTTCCTGGTCCACTCTGTGGCCCAAGTAGCAAATTTCACTTTTCCTAAACGTACACTTCGACTGCCGCAGCCGCACACCCATGTCTTGAAATCGTTGCAGCACTGCCCTTAGATTTTCAGTTCCCGGCTGCTCAGCCACCAACACGTCATCCAAGTACACCTGCACTCCTGGCAGGCCGGCCAGCATGGTTTCCATTTTTCTCTGAAAAATGGCCGGAGCCGATGCAACCCCGAACGGCAACCGGTTGTACTGGAAGAGCCCGCGATGTGTATTAATCACCGCCAGTTTTTTGGAATCTTTGTCTAACGGTACCTGGTTATACACGTCTCGCAGATCTAACGTACTGTACACTGCCCCACCACGCATCGACGCAAAAATGTCTGCTATGCTGGGCAGAGGGTACTGTTCAGTAGCACAGACATTTTTGCGTCGATGCGTGGTGGGGCAGTGTACAGTACGTTAGATCTGCGAGACGTGTATAACCAGGTACCGTTAGACAAAGATTCCAAAAAACTGGCGGTGATTAATACACATCGCGGGCTCTTCCAGTACAACCGGTTGCCGTTCGGGGTTGCATCGGCTCCGGCCATTTTTCAGAGAAAAATGGAAACCATGCTGGCCGGCCTGCCAGCAGGGTAGACATATTTGGCAAAAACCGATGATAATACGTCAGCAATCCAATAAAGGCCCGGAGCTCGCTGACGTTCGTAGGGCTTGGGGCCTGTCGGATGGCGTCCAGATTCTTCTCGATGGGGTGAAGCCCTTCCTGGTCCACTCTGTGGCCCAAGTAGCAAATTTCACTTTTCCTAAACGTACACTTCGACTGCCGCAGCCGCACACCCAGACGGAGTGGTTTACTTGGTCCCAGAAAGAGATGCTCAATCTACTCCACGAGGCTCACCAGGGGGCGACGGCCATGAAAAGGGTAGCCCGGACGTTGTTTTGGTGGCCCGGATTGGACGGTGAGGTAGAACGACTGGCTCGTCTTTGTCACAACTGCACACAGGCGTGCTTGCTGGAGGCATAGGAGCAGCCTGTGTGCAGTTGTGACAAAGACGAGCCAGTCGTTCTACCTCACCGTCCAATCCGGGCCACCAAACAACGTCCGGGCTACCCTTTTCATGGCCGTCGCCCCCTGGTGAGCCTCGTGGAGTAGATTGAGCATCTCTTTCTGGGACCAAGTAAACCACTCCGTCTGGGTGTGCGGCTGCGGCAGTCGAAGTATGCTTCAACGCGTACGATGTAGGAGTCCCACTTATCTCTGCTGTCGTCGAAGGCAGGCACTTGAAAGCTGGTCGAGTTACGGGGTATCGGGAGCGAAGCGGGAAACCTGATAAGGAACAGATGTCGTCGTTGTTGGCGGACGCGTCAGCAGAAGATGATGACTTGTGCATTTCGTCGGTGTACGCAATCAAGTCGCAAGCTGCAACGGTCGGTTTGGTTCAACCAGTCAGGAAGAAGCTTTGCTGGGGAGGCATTGACGTCAGCATGGAAATAGACACTGGCTCTCCTGTCTGCGTCATTCCTCGGAACGTGTATCTTCAGTGCCGAAACCGCTGGCCTAGCCTTGCAAAAAGTGAACTGAGACTGAATTGTTATCTCGGGAAATTGCCCATCTTAGGAGAGCTGCATCTGGACGTTGCTTTCCAGGGCCGCACGGTTCCTGCAAACCTGGTGGTGTTGGATTGCCTTGGACCCAGCCTTTGTGGCCGGGATGTAATCAACAAGTTGAACTTGCTTGGCGCAGAAGTGGCCTCTGTTTCCGCTCACCGAGACCACCAGGATTTGGAATCCCTGCTGAGCGACTTCCAGGACCTGTTCGAGCCCGGTCTAGGAGCCATCGAGGGGCCCCCCGTACATCTCTACCTGAAGGAAGGAGCTCGCCCGAAATTCATGAAGGCAAGACCCGTTCCTTACGCTCTGAGAGATAAGGTCTCTGAGGAGTTAGACCGTCTTGTTCAAACTGGAGTTTTGTCTCCAATAACGCATTCAGAATGGGCGGCGCCGATCGTTCCTGTGCGGAAAAGTGATGGATCCGTTAGAATTTGCGGAGATTTTAAGTTGACTGTGAATGCTGCCTGTGCTACTGAACAGTACCCTCTGCCCAGCATAGCAGACATTTTTGCGTCGATGCGTGGTGGGGCAGTGTACAGTACGTTAGATCTGCGAGACGCGTATAACCAGGTACCGTTAGACAAAGATTCCAAAAAACTGGCGGTGATTAATACACATCGCGGGCTCTTCCAGTACAACCGGTTGCCGTTCGGGGTTGCATCGGCTCCGGCCATTTTTCAGAGAAAAATGGAAACCATGCTGGCCGGCCTGCCAGGAGTGCAGGTGTACTTGGATGACGTGTTGGTGGCTGAGCAGCCGGGAACTGAAAATCTAAGGGCAGTGCTGCAACGATTTCAAGACATGGGTGTGCGGCTGCGGCAGTCGAAGTGTACGTTTAGGAAAAGTGAAATTTGCTACTTGGGCCACAGAGTGGACCAGGAAGGGCTTCACCCCATCGAGAAGAATCTGGACGCCATCCGACAGGCCCCAAGCCCTACGAACGTCAGCGAGCTCCGGGCCTTTATTGGATTGTTGACGTATTATCATCGGTTTTTGCCAAATATGTCTACCCTGCTGGCACCGCTTTACGAGCTCTTAGAAAAAAATAAAGTATGGCAATGGGGACCGAGACAACGAGACTCCGTGGAAAAGGCCAAGACAGTATTGCTAAAATCTCCCGTGTTGACCTTTTTTGATCCAAGTAAACCACTCCGTCTGGAATGCGATGCCTCGCCAACAGGAGTAGGAGCTGTACTGTCGCACCGATTGGGGTCTGTCGACCGACCGATCGCCTTCCGTTCCCGAAGCCTGACATCAGCAGAAAAAAATTATTCCCAAATAGAGAAAGAGGCACTCGCCTTGGTGTTCGCCGTGACCAAGTTCAGGGATTACTTGCTAGGTCGACAGTTCGTTCTCGTCACCGACCACCAACCCCTGGTGGGTCTGCTGAGAGAGGACCGGCCGATACCTCTGCTGGCATCGGGAAGAATTCAAAGGTGGGCCCTTCTACTCAGCGACTTCCTGTACAAAATCGAATTTCGCCCCGGGAAACTCAACGCGAACGCGGACGCCCTCAGCCGATTGCCCCTTCCACAGACCGAGGAGAGCCGAGAGGAGGAGCTGCCAGAGTACGTGTTCGCGATACAGTGCATGGATGAAGCGTTCCTGCCGGCACGGCAGCTAAAAGAGCTCAGTGCCGAGGACAGAACACTGACTACAGTAAAAAGCTTCGTAATGCGTGGCTGGCCGAAAATTCTAACCAAAGAACAGCATGAGCTGCATCCTTACTTTTGCAGAAGGCAGGAGTTGACTGTCGTCCAGGACCTGCTCTACTGGGGACAGCGAGTCGTCATTCCAGGGGCAGCCCAGAAAGAGATGCTCAATCTACTCCACGAGGCTCACCAGGGGGCGACGGCCATGAAAAGGGTAGCCCGGACGTTGTTTTGGTGGCCCGGATTGGACGGTGAGGTAGAACGACTGGCTCGTCTTTGTCACAACTGCACACAGGCTGCTCCTATGCCTCCAGCAAGCACGCCTGTTAACTGGCCAGAAACGGGAGAAAATTGGGCGCGCTTGCACATTGATTTCGCTGGGCCAATTGAAAACAAAATGCTGCTGGTGGTAGTGGATTCACACACTAAGTGGATCGAAGTATGCGTAATGCGCTCGGCCACCACTGAAGCCACCATAAGGGAGCTCAGAGAGATGTTCAGCCGATTCGGCTTACCACGTGCGATTGTGTCAGACAACGGGACTCAGTTTACTAGTCAGCAGTTTGGCGAGTTCCTGGAACGAAATCACGTGGAGCATTTAAAAACCGCCCCGTATCACCCACAATCTAATGGATTGGCAGAGCGGGCGGTCAGAACGGTAAAAGAGTCCCTAGCCAAGTTGTCAACCGGGGATTTGGAAGAGAAGTTGGCGAAAGTGTTGCTGTCTTACCGTCGCACTCCACTGTCGGACGGGAAATCACCGGCCGAGCGCTTACTCGGTTTCCAAGTACGCTCGCGCGTCGACACTGCTGTGCCGTCAAGACGTGTGTGCTCGCCTGACTTACAGGTCCCAACCATTCGCCCTCATGCTGCCGTGTGGTACCGGAACTTCGGGCAAGGTGAAAAATGGTTGCCCGGGGTGGTGGAGAGCAACCACGGCGCTCGCATGACTGTGGTATCTACTCCCGGAGGCAACGTCCGCCGTCATCTCGATCAACTGCGGTTACGGGAGGTCAAGGCGGAAACCAGCGAGGCACCCGCCGCCAGCGGTTCAGCAGTACCTGCACCCTCTCCCAAGAGCCCTGCTGACCAGTTGGCCCGAGCCGCAGCCGCCAGCGGTTCAGCGGTACCTGTACCCTCTCCCACGAGCCCTGCTGACCAGTTGGCCCGAGCCGCGGTACCTGCAGCCTCGGCCAAGAGCCCTGCGAACGAGTTGTACGGCGACGCCACGACCTCAAGCGAGCCCGAAGACAGCTGTGTGCCGTTCCAGCTGCGACGGTCCACTCGGACTCGGAAACCCATTGATCGCCTTCAATTATAAGAGAAGGAGAATTGTTATCACTTCGGCCGAGTCACCGAAGCATGACTTACTGTTATCCGCCTTTTGGTTGTTTTATTAACTGCGTTGCCATTGGTCCGTGGAGCGCTATATATAGTTCCACGCGGGCCCGAAATAAACCGTTTATACCCTGGTAGCCGGCCTGCCTGTTTGGTCCTCGCGGTTCTGTCATACTTGGGCCACAGAGTGGACCAGGAAGGGCTTCACCCCATCGAGAAGAATCTGGACGCCATCCGACAGGCCCCAAGCCCTACGAACGTCAGCGAGCTCCGGGCCTTTATTGGATTGTTGACGTATTATCATCGGTTTTTGCCAAATATGTCTACCCTGCTGGCACCGCTTTACGAGCTCTTAGAAAAAAATAAAGTATGGCAATGGGGACCGAGACAACGAGACTCCGTGGAAAAGGCCAAGACAGTATTGCTAAAATCTCCCGTGTTGACCTTTTTTGATCCAAGTAAACCACTCCTTCTGGAATGCGATGCCTCGCCAACAGGAGTAGGAGCTGTACTGTCGCACCGATTGGGGTCTGTCGACCGACCAATCGCCTTCCGTTCCCGAAGCCTGACATCAGCAGAAAAAAATTATTCCCAAATAGAGAAAGAGGCACTCGCCTTGGTGTTCGCCGTGACCAAGGCGAGTGCCTCTTTCTCTATTTGGGAATAATTTTTTTCTGCTGATGTCAGGCTTCGGGAACGGAAGGCGATTGGTCGGTCGACAGACCCCAATCGGTGCGACAGTACAGCTCCTACTCCTGTTGGCGAGGCATCGCATTCCAGACGGAGTGGTTTACTTGGATCAAAAAAGGTCAACACGGGAGATTTTAGCAATACTGTCTTGGCCTTTTCCACGGAGTCTCGTTGTCTCGGTCCCCATTGCCATACTTTATTTTTTTCTAAGAGCTCGTAAAGCGGTGCCAGCAGGGTAGACATATTTGGCAAAAACCGATGATAATACGTCAACAATCCAATAAAGGCCCGGAGCTCGCTGACGTTCGTAGGGCTTGGGGCCTGTCGGATGGCGTCCAGATTCTTCTCGATGGGGTGAAGCCCTTCCTGGTCCACTCTGTGGCCCAAGTAGCAAATTTCACTTTTCCTAAACGTACACTTCGACTGCCGCAGCCGCACACCCATGTCTTGAAATCGTTGCAGCACTGCCCTTAGATTTTCAGTTCCCGGCTGCTCAGCCACCAACACGTCATCCAAGTACACCTGCACTCCTGGCAGGCCGGCCAGCATGGTTTCCATTTTTCTCTGAAAAATGGCCGGAGCCGATGCAACCCCGAACGGCAACCGGTTGTACTGGAAGAGCCCGCGATGTGTATTAATCACCGCCAGTTTTTTGGAATCTTTGTCTAACGGTACCTGGTTATACGCGTCTCGCAGATCTAACGTACTGTACACTGCCCCACCACGCATCGACGCAAAAATGTCTGCTATGCTGGGCAGAGGGTACTGTTCAGTAGCACAGGCAGCATTCACAGTCAACTTAAAATCTCCGCAAATTCTAACGGATCCATCACTTTTCCGCACAGGAACGATCGGCGCCGCCCATTCTGAATGCGTTATTGGAGACAAAACTCCAGTTTGAACAAGACGGTCTAACTCCTCAGAGACCTTATCTCTCAGAGCGTAAGGAACGGGTCTTGCCTTCATGAATTTCGGGCGAGCTCCTTCCTTCAGGTAGAGATGTACGGGGGGCCCCTCGATGGCTCCTAGACCGGGCTCGAACAGGTCCTGGAAGTCGCTCAGCAGGGATTCCAAATCCTGGTGGTCTCGGTGAGCGGAAACAGAGGCCACTTCTGCGCCAAGCAAGTTCAACTTGTTGATTACATCCCGGCCACAAAGGCTGGGTCCAAGGCAATCCAACACCACCAGGTTTGCAGGAACCGTGCGGCCCTGGAAAGCAACGTCCAGATGCAGCTCTCCTAAGATGGGCAATTTCCCGAGATAACAATTCAGTCTCAGTTCACTTTTTGCAAGGCTAGGCCAGCGGTTTCGGCACTGAAGATACACGTTCCGAGGAATGACGCAGACAGGAGAGCCAGTGTCTATTTCCATGCTGACGTCAATGCCTCCCCAGCAAAGCTTCTTCCTGACTGGTTGAACCAAACCGACCGTTGCAGCTTGCGACTTGATTGCGTACACCGACGAAATGCACAAGTCATCATCTTCTGCTGACGCGTCCGCCAACAACGACGACATCTGTTCCTTATCAGGTTTCCCGCTTCGCTCCCGATACCCCGTAGCTCGACACTTTCTGGCTAGGTGCCCTTGCTTTCCACAGCGAAAACACGTTTTCGTTTTGTGGCCGCAGTTTTCCCCGGTGTGTGAGGAACTTCCACAGCGCCCACACGCTGCTACCGAAAGGTGCTTCTCCCGCCCGTACACATTTCTTGACGGCTGTTTCACCATTTTGTGTATGGCCCCTTCCTTCGTTTCTGGCCTTTGCATTTGTTCTACTTCGGAATCAGCTGCTTCCGCTGCGGCTGCTACTTCTTCCGCCTCATTCAACGTAAGGTCCCGCCGTGACAGCAACCTTCGCTGGACGTCTCTACTTCTCACACCGCACACAATTCGATCCCGTAGCATCCGGTCAAGGCTCATGCCAAAGTTGCAGTTTTCCGCAATTTTGCGGATCTGCACAACGAACTCTCGTACGCTCTCAGTTGGTTGTTGCACGCGGTTGAAAAATTTATAGCTCTCGGCTATTTCATTGCGCTTAGGCGCGTAGTGCTGCTCTAGGAATTCCACAGCTTCTTCATACGATAACTCGTTCACCTTTCGCGGGGCACAGCTACCACTTAAGACTTCTATCGTATGCGTGCCGAGTGCCGAAACTAGCAGCGCTCTCTTGGTCTTTCCACTGGCAATAGCATTTCCCTCGAAGTATGCTTCAACGCGTACGATGTAGGAGTCCCACTTATCTCTGCTGTCGTCGAAGGCAGGCACTTGAAAGCTGGTCGGCGTCGCCATTGCCCCCGTCTCGGATCTTGAGCAGCCCTTGCCTCCTGCCCGGCGGAGTTCGGCGCCTCGTCGCCACTGTTGTCACTTTGACATCTCGCAGTATGACAGAACCGCGAGGACCAAACAGGCAGGCCGGCTACCAGGGTATGAACGGTTTATTTCGGGCCCGCGTGGAACTATATATAGCGCTCCACGGACCAATGGCAACGCAGTTAATAAAACAAACAAAAGGCGGATAAGGTTCAGGGATTACTTGCTAGGTCGACAGTTCGTTCTCGTCACCGACCACCAACCCCTGGTGGGTCTGCTGAGAGAGGACCGGCCGATACCTCTGCTGGCATCGGGAAGAATTCAAAGGTGGGCCCTTCTACTCAGCGACTTCCAGTACAAAATCGAATTTCGCCCCGGGAAACTCAACGCCCCGGGGTGGTGGGGAGCACACAGGCTACCAGGGTATGAACGGTTTATTTCGGGCCCGCGTGGAACTATATATAGCGCTCCACGGACCAATGGCAACGCAGTTAATAAAACAAACAAAAGGCGGATAACAGTAAGTCATGCTTCGGTGACTCGGCCGAAGTGATAACAATTCTCCTTCTCTTATAATTGAAGGCGATCAATGGGTTTCCGAGTCCGAGTGGACCGTCGCAGCTGGAACGGCACACAGCTGTCTTCGGGCTCGCTTGAGGTCGTGGCGTCGCCGTACAACTCGTTCGCAGGGCTCTTGGCCGAGGCTGCAGGTACCGCGGCTCGGGCCAACTGGTCAGCAGGGCTCGTGGGAGAGGGTACAGGTACCGCTGAACCACTGGCGGCTGCGGCTCGGGCCAACTGGTCAGCAGGGCTCCTGGGAGAGGGTGCAGGTACTGCTGAACCGCTGGCGGCGGGTGCCTCGCTGGTTTCCGCCTTGACCTCCCGTAACCGCAGTTGATCGAGATGACGGCGGACGTTGCCTCCGGGAGTAGATACCACAGTCATGCGAGCGCCGTGGTTGCTCTCCACCACCCCGGGCAACCATTTTTCACCTTGCCCGAAGTTCCGGTACCACACGGCAGCATGAGGGCGGATGGTTGGGACCTGTAAGTCAGGCGAGCACACACGTCTTGACGGCACAACTGTGGCGACGAGGCGCCGAACTCCGCCGGGCAGGAGGCAAGGGCTGCTCAAGATCCGAGACGGGGGCAATGGCGACGCCGACCAGCTTTCAAGTGCCTGCCTTCGACGACAGCAGAGATAAGTGGGACTCCTACATCGTACGCGTTGAAGCATACTTCGAGGGAAATGCTATTGCCAGTGGAAAGACCAAGAGAGCGCTGCTAGTTTCGGCACTCGGCACGCATACGATAGAAGTCTTAAGTGGTAGCTGTGCCCCGCGAAAGGTGAACGAGTTATCGTATGAAGAAGCTGTGGAATTCCTAGAGCAGCACTACGCGCCTAAGCGCAATGAAATAGCCGAGAGCTATAAATTTTTCAACCGCGTGCAACAACCAACTGAGAGCGTACGAGAGTTCGTTGTGCAGATCCGCAAAATTGCGGAAAACTGCAACTTTGGCATGAGCCTTGACCGGATGCTACGGGATCGAATTGTGTGCGGTGTGAGAAGTAGAGACGTCCAGCGAAGGTTGCTGTCACGGCGGGACCTTACGTTGAATGAGGCGGAAGAAGTAGCAGCCGCAGCGGAAGCAGCTGATTCCGAAGTAGAACAAATGCAAAGGCCAGAAACGAAGGAAGGGGCCATACACAAAATGGTGAAACAGCCGTCAAGAAATGTGTACGGGCGGGAGAAGCACCTTTCGGTAGCAGCGTGTGGGCGCTGTGGAAGTTCCTCACACACCGGGGAAAACTGCGGCCACAAAACGAAAACGTGTTTTCGCTGTGGAAAGCAAGGGCACCTAGCCAGAAAGTGTCGAGCTACGGGGTATCGGGAGCGAAGCGGGAAACCTGATAAGGAACAGATGTCGTCGTTGTTGGCGGACGCGTCAGCAGAAGATGATGACTTGTGCATTTCGTCGGTGTACGCAATCAAGTCGCAAGCTGCAACGGTCGGTTTGGTTCAACCAGTCAGGAAGAAGCTTTGCTGGGGAGGCATTGACGTCAGCATGGAAATAGACACTGGCTCTCCTGTCTGCGTCATTCCTCGGAACGTGTATCTTCAGTGCCGAAACCGCTGGCCTAGCCTTGCAAAAAGTGAACTGAGACTGAATTGTTATCTCGGGAAATTGCCCATCTTAGGAGAGCTGCATCTGGACGTTGCTTTCCAGGGCCGCACGGTTCCTGCAAACCTGGTGGTGTTGGATTGCCTTGGACCCAGCCTTTGTGGCCGGGATGTAATCAACAAGTTGAACTTGCTTGGCGCAGAAGTGGCCTCTGTTTCCGCTCACCGAGACCACCAGGATTTGGAATCCCTGCTGAGCGACTTCCAGGACCTGTTCGAGCCCGGTCTAGGAGCCATCGAGGGGCCCCCCGTACATCTCTACCTGAAGGAAGGAGCTCGCCCGAAATTCATGAAGGCAAGACCCGTTCCTTACGCTCTGAGAGATAAGGTCTCTGAGGAGTTAGACCGTCTTGTTCAAACTGGAGTTTTGTCTCCAATAACGCATTCAGAATGGGCGGCGCCGATCGTTCCTGTGCGGAAAAGTGATGGATCCGTTAGAATTTGCGGAGATTTTAAGTTGACTGTGAATGCTGCCTGTGCTACTGAACAGTACCCTCTGCCCAGCATAGCAGACATTTTTGCGTCGATGCGTGGTGGGGCAGTGTACAGTACGTTAGATCTGCGAGACGCGTATAACCAGGTACCGTTAGACAAAGATTCCAAAAAACTGGCGGTGATTAATACACATCGCGGGCTCTTCCAGTACAACCGGTTGCCGTTCGGGGTTGCATCGGCTCCGGCCATTTTTCAGAGAAAAATGGAAACCATGCTGGCCGGCCTGCCAGGAGTGCAGGTGTACTTGGATGACGTGTTGGTGGCTGAGCAGCCGGGAACTGAAAATCTAAGGGCAGTGCTGCAACGATTTCAAGACATGGGTGTGCGGCTGCGGCAGTCGAAGTGTACGTTTAGGAAAAGTGAAATTTGCTACTTGGGCCACAGAGTGGACCAGGAAGGGCTTCACCCCATCGAGAAGAATCTGGACGCCATCCGACAGGCCCCAAGCCCTACGAACGTCAGCGAGCTCCGGGCCTTTATTGGATTGTTGACGTATTATCATCGGTTTTTGCCAAATATGTCTACCCTGCTGGCACCGCTTTACGAGCTCTTAGAAAAAAATAAAGTATGGCAATGGGGACCGAGACAACGAGACTCCGTGGAAAAGGCCAAGACAGTATTGCTAAAATCTCCCGTGTTGACCTTTTTTTGATCCAAGTAAACCACTCCGTCTGGAATGCGATGCCTCGCCAACAGGAGTAGGAGCTGTACTGTCGCACCGATTGGGGTCTGTCGACCGACCAATCGCCTTCCGTTCCCGAAGCCTGACATCAGCAGAAAAAAATTATTCCCAAATAGAGAAAGAGGCACTCGCCTTAGTGTTCGCCGTGACCAAGTTCAGGGATTACTTGCTAGGTCGACAGTTCGTTCTCGTCACCGACCACCAACCCCTGGTGGGTCTGCTGAGAGAGGACCGGCCGATACCTCTGCTGGCATCGGGAAGAATTCAAAGGTGGGCCCTTCTACTCAGCGACTTCCAGTACAAAATCGAATTTCGCCCCGGGAAACTCAACGCGAACGCGGACGCCCTCAGCCGATTGCCCCTTCCACAGACCGAGGAGAGCCGAGAGGAGGAGCTGCCAGAGTACGTGTTCGCGATACAGTGCATGGATGAAGCGTTCCTGCCGGCACGGCAGCTAAAAGAGCTCAGTGCCGAGGACAGAACACTGACTACAGTAAAAAGCTTCGTAATGCGTGGCTGGCCGAAAATTCTAACCAAAGAACAGCATGAGCTGCATCCTTACTTTTGCAGAAGGCAGGAGTTGACTGTCGTCCAGGACCTGCTCTACTGGGGACAGCGAGTCGTCATTCCAGGGGCAGCCCAGAAAGAGATGCTCAATCTACTCCACGAGGCTCACCAGGGGGCGACGGCCATGAAAAGGGTAGCCCGGACGTTGTTTTGGTGGCCCGGATTGGACGGTGAGGTAGAACGACTGGCTCGTCTTTGTCACAACTGCACACAGGCTGCTCCTATGCCTCCAGCAAGCACGCCTGTTAACTGGCCAGAAACGAAGGAAGGGGCCATACACAAAATGGTGAAACACCATTTTGTGTACCTTTTATTAACTGCGTTGCCATTGGTCCGTGGAGCGCTATATATAGTTCCACGCGGGCCCGAAATAAACCGTTCATACCCTGGTAGCCGGCCTGCCTGTTTGGTCCTCGCGGTTCTGTCATACTGCGAGATGTCAAAGTGACAACAGTGGCGACGAGGCGCCGAACTCCGCCGGGCAGGAGGCAAGGGCTGCTCAAGATCCGAGACGGGGGCAATGGCGACGCCGACCAGCTTTCAAGTGCCTGCCTTCGACGACAGCAGAGATAAGTGGGACTCCTACATCGTACGCGTTGAAGCATACTTCGAGGGAAATGCTATTGCCAGTGGAAAGACCAAGAGAGCGCTGCTAGTTTCGGCACAAGGCACGCATACGATAGAAGTCTTAAGTGGTAGCTGTGCCCCGCGAAAGGTGAACGAGTTATCGTATGAAGAAGCTGTGGAATTCCTAGAGCAGCACTACGCGCCTAAGCGCAATGAAATAGCCGAGAGCTATAAATTTTTCAACCGCGTGCAACAACCAACTGAGAGCGTACGAGAGTTCGTTGTGCAGATCCGCAAAATTGCGGAAAACTGCAACTTTGGCATGAGCCTTGACCGGATGCTACGGGATCGAATTGTGTGCGGTGTGAGAAGTAGAGACGTCCAGCGAAGGTTGCTGTCACGGCGGGACCTTACGTTGAATGAGGCGGAAGAAGTAGCAGCCGCAGCGGAAGCAGCTGATTCCGAAGTAGAACAAATGCAAAGGCCAGAAACGAAGGAAGGGGCCATACACAAAATGGTGAAACAGCCGTCAAGAAATGTGTACGGGCGGGAGAAGCACCTTTCGGTAGCAGCGTGTGGGCGCTGTGGAAGTTCCTCACACACCGGGGAAAACTGCGGCCACAAAACGAAAACGTGTTTTCGCTGTGGAAAGCAAGGGCACCTAGCCAGAAAGTGTCGAGCTACGGGGTATCGGGAGCGAAGCGGGAAACCTGATAAGGAACAGATGTCGTCGTTGTTGGCGGACGCGTCAGCAGAAGATGATGACTTGTGCATTTCGTCGGTGTACGCAATCAAGTCGCAAGCTGCAACGGTCGGTTTGGTTCAACCAGTCAGGAAGAAGCTTTGCTGGGGAGGCATTGACGTCAGCATGGAAATAGACACTGGCTCTCCTGTCTGCGTCATTCCTCGGAACGTGTATCTTCAGTGCCGAAACCGCTGGCCTAGCCTTGCAAAAAGTGAACTGAGACTGAATTGTTATCTCGGGAAATTGCCCATCTTAGGAGAGCTGCATCTGGACGTTGCTTTCCAGGGCCGCACGGTTCCTGCAAACCTGGTGGTGTTGGATTGCCTTGGACCCAGCCTTTGTGGCCGGGATGTAATCAACAAGTTGAACTTGCTTGGCGCAGAAGTGGCCTCTGTTTCCGCTCACCGAGACCACCAGGATTTGGAATCCCTGCTGAGCGACTTCCAGGACCTGTTCGAGCCCGGTCTAGGAGCCATCGAGGGGCCCCCCGTACATCTCTACCTGAAGGAAGGAGCTCGCCCGAAATTCATGAAGGCAAGACCCGTTCCTTACGCTCTGAGAGATAAGGTCTCTGAGGAGTTAGACCGTCTTGTTCAAACTGGAGTTTTGTCTCCAATAACGCATTCAGAATGGGCGGCGCCGATCGTTCCTGTGCGGAAAAGTGATGGATCCGTTAGAATTTGCGGAGATTTTAAGTTGACTGTGAATGCTGCCTGTGCTACTGAACAGTACCCTCTGCCCAGCATAGCAGACATTTTTGCGTCGATGCGTGGTGGGGCAGTGTACAGTACGTTAGATCTGCGAGACGCGTATAACCAGGTACCGTTAGACAAAGATTCCAAAAAACTGGCGGTGATTAATACACATCGCGGGCTCTTCCAGTACAACCGGTTGCCGTTCGGGGTTGCATCGGCTCCGGCCATTTTTCAGAGAAAAATGGAAACCATGCTGGCCGGCCTGCCAGGAGTGCAGGTGTACTTGGATGACGTGTTGGTGGCTGAGCAGCCGGGAACTGAAAATCTAAGGGCAGTGCTGCAACGATTTCAAGACATGGGTGTGCGGCTGCGGCAGTCGAAGTGTACGTTTAGGAAAAGTGAAATTTGCTACTTGGGCCACAGAGTGGACCAGGAAGGGCTTCACCCCATCGAGAAGAATCTGGACGCCATCCGACAGGCCCCAAGCCCTACGAACGTCAGCGAGCTCCGGGCCTTTATTGGATTGTTGACGTATTATCATCGGTTTTTGCCAAATATGTCTACCCTGCTGGCACCGCTTTACGAGCTCTTAGAAAAAAATAAAGTATGGCAATGGGGACCGAGACAACGAGACTCCGTGGAAAAGGCCAAGACAGTATTGCTAAAATCTCCCGTGTTGACCTTTTTTGATCCAAGTAAACCACTCCGTCTGGAATGCGATGCCTCGCCAACAGGAGTAGGAGCTGTACTGTCGCACCGATTGGGGTCTGTCGACCGACCAATCGCCTTCCGTTCCCGAAGCCTGACATCAGCAGAAAAAAATTATTCCCAAATAGAGAAAGAGGCACTCGCCTTGGTGTTCGCCGTGACCAAGTTCAGGGATTACTTGCTAGGTCGACAGTTCGTTCTCGTCACCGACCACCAACCCCTGGTGGGTCTGCTGAGAGAGGACCGGCCGATACCTCTGCTGGCATCGGGAAGAATTCAAAGGTGGGCCCTTCTACTCAGCGACTTCCAGTACAAAATCGAATTTCGCCCCGGGAAACTCAACGCGAACGCGGACGCCCTCAGCCGATTGCCCCTTCCACAGACCGAGGAGAGCCGAGAGGAGGAGCTGCCAGAGTACGTGTTCGCGATACAGTGCATGGATGAAGCGTTCCTGCCGGCACGGCAGCTAAAAGAGCTCAGTGCCGAGGACAGAACACTGACTACAGTAAAAAGCTTCGTAATGCGTGGCTGGCCGAAGTGATAACAATTCTCCTTCTCTTATAATTGAAGGCGATCAATGGGTTTCCGAGTCCGAGTGGACCGTCGCAGCTGGAACGGCACACAGCTGTCTTCGGGCTCGCTTGAGGTCGTGGCGTCGCCGTACAACTCGTTCGCAGGGCTCTTGGCCGAGGCTGCAGGTACCGCGGCTCGGGCCAACTGGTCAGCAGGGCTCGTGGGAGAGGGTACAGGTACCGCTGAACCGCTGGCGGCTGCGGCTCGGGCCAACTGGTCAGCAGGGCTCCTGGGAGAGGGTGCAGGTACTGCTGAACCGCTGGCGGCGGGTGCCTCGCTGGTTTCCGCCTTGACCTCCCGTAACCGCAGTTGATCGAGATGACGGCGGACGTTGCCTCCGGGAGTAGATACCACAGTCATGCGAGCGCCGTGGTTGCTCTCCACCACCCCGGGCAACCATTTTTCACCTTGCCCGAAGTTCCGGTACCACACGGCAGCATGAGGGCGGATGGTTGGGACCTGTAAGTCAGGCGAGCACACACGTCTTGACGGCACAGCAGTGTCGACGCGCGAGCGTACTTGGAAACCGAGTAAGCGCTCGGCCGGTGATTTCCCGTCCGACAGTGGAGTGCGACGGTAAGACAGCAACACTTTCGCCAACTTCTCTTCCAAATCCCCGGTTGACAACTTGGCTAGGGACTCTTTTACCGTTCTGACCGCCCGCTCTGCCAATCCATTAGATTGTGGGTGATACGGGGCGGTTTTTAAATGCTCCACGTGATTTCGTTCCAGGAACTCGCCAAACTGCTGACTAGTAAACTGAGTCCCGTTGTCTGACACAATCGCACGTGGTAAGCCGAATCGGCTGAACATCTCTCTGAGCTCCCTTATGGTGGCTTCAGTGGTGGCCGAGCGCATTACGCATACTTCGATCCACTTAGTGTGTGAATCCACTACCACCAGCAGCATTTTGTTTTCAATTGGCCCAGCGAAATCAATGTGCAAGCGCGCCCAATTTTCTCCCGTTTCTGGCCAGTTAACAGGCGTGCTTGCTGGAGGCATAGGAGCAGCCTGTGTGCAGTTGTGACAAAGACGAGCCAGTCGTTCTACCTCACCGTCCAATCCGGGCCACCAAAACAACGTCCGGGCTACCCTTTTCATGGCCGTCGCCCCCTGGTGAGCCTCGTGGAGTAGATTGAGCATCTCTTTCTGGGCTGCCCCTGGAATGACGACTCGCTGTCCCCAGTAGAGCAGGTCCTGGACGACAGTCAACTCCTGCCTTCTGCAAAAGTAAGGATGCAGCTCATGCTGTTCTTTGGTTAGAATTTTCGGCCAGCCACGCATTACGAAGCTTTTTACTGTAGTCAGTGTTCTGTCCTCGGCACTGAGCTCTTTTAGCTGCCGTGCCGGCAGGAACGCTTCATCCATGCACTGTATCGCGAACACGTACTCTGGCAGCTCCTCCTCTCGGCTCTCCTCGGTCTGTGGAAGGGGCAATCGGCTGAGGGCGTCCGCGTTCGCGTTGAGTTTCCCGGGGCGAAATTCGATTTTGTACTGGAAGTCGCTGAGTAGAAGGGCCCACCTTTGAATTCTTCCCGATGCCAGCAGAGGTATCGGCCGGTCCTCTCTCAGCAGACCCACCAGGGGTTGGTGGTCGGTGACGAGAACGAACTGTCGACCTAGCAAGTAATCCCTGAACTTGGTCACGGCGAACACCAAGGCGAGTGCCTCTTTCTCTATTTGGGAATAATTTTTTTCTGCTGATGTCAGGCTTCGGGAACGGAAGGCGATTGGTCGGTCGACAGACCCCAATCGGTGCGACAGTACAGCTCCTACTCCTGTTGGCGAGGCATCGCATTCCAGACGGAGTGGTTTACTTGGATCAAAAAAGGTCAACACGGGAGATTTTAGCAATACTGTCTTGGCCTTTTCCACGGAGTCTCGTTGTCTCGGTCCCCATTGCCATACTTTATTTTTTGTCGTCGTTGTTGGCGGACGCGTCAGCAGAAGATGATGACTTGTGCATTTCGTCGGTGTACGCAATCAAGTCGCAAGCTGCAACGGTCGGTTTGGTTCAACCAGTCAGGAAGAAGCTTTGCTGGGGAGGCATTGACGTCAGCATGGAAATAGACACTGGCTCTCCTGTCTGCGTCATTCCTCGGAACGTGTATCTTCAGTGCCGAAACCGCTGGCCTAGCCTTGCAAAAAGTGAACTGAGACTGAATTGTTATCTCGGGAAATTGCCCATCTTAGGAGAGCTGCATCTGGACGTTGCTTTCCAGGGCCGCACGGTTCCTGCAAACCTGGTGGTGTTGGTTTGCCTTGGACCCAGCCTTTGTGGCCGGGATGTAATCAACAAGTTGAACTTGCTTGGCGCAGAAGTGGCCTCTGTTTCCGCTCACCGAGACCACCAGGATTTGGAATCCCTGCTGAGCGACTTCCAGGACCTGTTCGAGCCCGGTCTAGGAGCCATCGAGGGGCCCCCCGTACATCTCTACCTGAAGGAAGGAGCTCGCCCGAAATTCATGAAGGCAAGACCCGTTCCTTACGCTCTGAGAGATAAGGTCTCTGAGGAGTTAGACCGTCTTGTTCAAACTGGAGTTTTGTCTCCAATAACGCATTCAGAATGGGCGGCGCCGATCGTTCCTGTGCGGAAAAGTGATGGATCCGTTAGAATTTGCGGAGATTTTAAGTTGACTGTGAATGCTGCCTGTGCTACTGAACAGTACCCTCTGCCCAGCATAGCAGACATTTTTGCGTCGATGCGTGGTGGGGCAGTGTACAGTACGTTAGATCTGCGAGACGCGTATAACCAGGTACCGTTAGACAAAGATTCCAAAAAACTGGCGGTGATTAATACACATCGCGGGCTCTTCCAGTACAACCGGTTGCCGTTCGGGGTTGCATCGGCTCCGGCCATTTTTCAGAGAAAAATGGAAACCATGCTGGCCGGCCTGCCAGGAGTGCAGGTGTACTTGGATGACGTGTTGGTGGCTGAGCAGCCGGGAACTGAAAATCTAAGGGCAGTGCTGCAACGATTTCAAGACATGGGTGTGCGGCTGCGGCAGTCGAAGTGTACGTTTAGGAAAAGTGAAATTTGCTACTTGGGCCACAGAGTGGACCAGGAAGGGCTTCACCCCATCGAGAAGAATCTGGACGCCATCCGACAGGCCCCAAGCCCTACGAACGTCAGCGAGCTCCGGGCCTTTATTGGATTGTTGACGTATTATCATCGGTTTTTGCCAAATATGTCTACCCTGCTGGCACCGCTTTACGAGCTCTTAGAAAAAAATAAAGTATGGCAATGGGGACCGAGACAACGAGACTCCGTGGAAAAGGCCAAGACAGTATTGCTAAAATCTCCCGTGTTGACCTTTTTTGATCCAAGTAAACCACTCCGTCTGGAATGCGATGCCTCGCCAACAGGAGTAGGAGCTGTACTGTCGCACCGATTGGGGTCTGTCGACCGACCAATCGCCTTCCGTTCCCGAAGCCTGACATCAGCAGAAAAAAATTATTCCCAAATAGAGAAAGAGGCACTCGCCTTGGTGTTCGCCGTGACCAAGTTCAGGGATTACTTGCTAGGTCGACAGTTCGTTCTCGTCACCGACCACCAACCCCTGGTGGGTCTGCTGAGAGAGGACCGGCCGATACCTCTGCTGGCATCGGGAAGAATTCAAAGGTGGGCCCTTCTACTCAGCGACAGGGACAACAGTGGCGACGAGGCGCCGAACTCCGCCGGGCAGGAGGCAAGGGCTGCTCAAGATCCGAGACGGGGGCAATGGCGACGCCGACCAGCTTTCAAGTGCCTGCCTTCGACGACAGCAGAGATAAGTGGGACTCCTACATCGTACGCGTTGAAGCATACTTCGAGGGAAATGCTATTGCCAGTGGAAAGACCAAGAGAGCGCTGCTAGTTTCGGCACTCGGCACGCATACGATAGAAGTCTTAAGTGGTAGCTGTGCCCCGCGAAAGGTGAACGAGTTATCGTATGAAGAAGCTGTGGAATTCCTAGAGCAGCACTACGCGCCTAAGCGCAATGAAATAGCCGAGAGCTATAAATTTTTCAACCGCGTGCAACAACCAACTGAGAGCGTACGAGAGTTCGTTGTGCAGATCCGCAAAATTGCGGAAAACTGCAACTTTGGCATGAGCCTTGACCGGATGCTACGGGATCGAATTGTGTGCGGTGTGAGAAGTAGAGACGTCCAGCGAAGGTTGCTGTCACGGCGGGACCTTACGTTGAATGAGGCGGAAGAAGTAGCAGCCGCAGCGGAAGCAGCTGATTCCGAAGTAGAACAAATGCAAAGGCCAGAAACGAAGGAAGGGGCCATACACAAAATGGTGAAACAGCCGTCAAGAAATGTGTACGGGCGGGAGAAGCACCTTTCGGTAGCAGCGTGTGGGCGCTGTGGAAGTTCCTCACACACCGGGGAAAACTGCGGCCACAAAACGAAAACGTGTTTTCGCTGTGGAAAGCAAGGGCACCTAGCCAGAAAGTGTCGAGCTACGGGGTATCGGGAGCGAAGCGGGAAACCTGATAAGGAACAGATGTCGTCGTTGTTGGCGGACGCGTCAGCAGAAGATGATGACTTGTGCATTTCGTCGGTGTACGCAATCAAGTCGCAAGCTGCAACGGTCGGTTTGGTTCAACCAGTCAGGAAGAAGCTTTGCTGGGGAGGCATTGACGTCAGCATGGAAATAGACACTGGCTCTCCTGTCTGCGTCATTCCTCGGAACGTGTATCTTCAGTGCCGAAACCGCTGGCCTAGCCTTGCAAAAAGTGAACTGAGACTGAATTGTTATCTCGGGAAATTGCCCATCTTAGGAGAGCTGCATCTGGACGTTGCTTTCCAGGGCCGCACGGTTCCTGCAAACCTGGTGGTGTTGGATTGCCTTGGACCCAGCCTTTGTGGCCGGGATGTAATCAACAAGTTGAACTTGCTTGGCGCAGAAGTGGCCTCTGTTTCCGCTCACCGAGACCACCAGGATTTGGAATCCCTGCTGAGCGACTTCCAGGACCTGTTCGAGCCCGGTCTAGGAGCCATCGAGGGGCCCCCCGTACATCTCTACCTGAAGGAAGGAGCTCGCCCGAAATTCATGAAGGCAAGACCCGTTCCTTACGCTCTGAGAGATAAGGTCTCTGAGGAGTTAGACCGTCTTGTTCAAACTGGAGTTTTGTCTCCAATAACGCATTCAGAATGGGCGGCGCCGATCGTTCCTGTGCGGAAAAGTGATGGATCCGTTAGAATTTGCGGAGATTTTAAGTTGACTGTGAATGCTGCCTGTGCTACTGAACAGTACCCTCTGCCCAGCATAGCAGACATTTTTGCGTCGATGCGTGGTGGGGCAGTGTACAGTACGTTAGATCTGCGAGACGCGTATAACCAGGTACCGTTAGACAAAGATTCCAAAAAACTGGCGGTGATTAATACACATCGCGGGCTCTTCCAGTACAACCGGTTGCCGTTCGGGGTTGCATCGGCTCCGGCCATTTTTCAGAGAAAAATGGAAACCATGCTGGCCGGCCTGCCAGGAGTGCAGGTGTACTTGGATGACGTGTTGGTGGCTGAGCAGCCGGGAACTGAAAATCTAAGGGCAGTGCTGCAACGATTTCAAGACATGGGTGTGCGGCTGCGGCAGTCGAAGTGTACGTTTAGGAAAAGTGAAATTTGCTACTTGGGCCACAGAGTGGACCAGGAAGGGCTTCACCCCATCGAGAAGAATCTGGACGCCATCCGACAGGCCCCAAGCCCTACGAACGTCAGCGAGCTCCGGGCCTTTATTGGATTGTTGACGTATTATCATCGGTTTTTGCCAAATATGTCTACCCTGCTGGCACCGCTTTACGAGCTCTTAGAAAAAAATAAAGTATGGCAATGGGGACCGAGACAACGAGACTCCGTGGAAAAGGCCAAGACAGTATTGCTAAAATCTCCCGTGTTGACCTTTTTTGATCCAAGTAAACCACTCCGTCTGGAATGCGATGCCTCGCCAACAGGAGTAGGAGCTGTACTGTCGCACCGATTGGGGTCTGTCGACCGACCAATCGCCTTCCGTTCCCGAAGCCTGACATCAGCAGAAAAAAATTATTCCCAAATAGAGAAAGAGGCACTCGCCTTGGTGTTCGCCGTGACCAAGTTCAGGGATTACTTGCTAGGTCGACAGTTCGTTCTCGTCACCGACCACCAACCCCTGGTGGGTCTGCTGAGAGAGGACCGGCCGATACCTCTGCTGGCATCGGGAAGAATTCAAAGGTGGGCCCTTCTACTCAGCGATCGGCGCCGCCCATTCTGAATGCGTTATTGGAGACAAAACTCCAGTTTGAACAAGACGGTCTAACTCCTCAGAGACCTTATCTCTCAGAGCGTAAGGAACGGGTCTTGCCTTCATGAATTTCGGGCGAGCTCCTTCCTTCAGGTAGAGATGTACGGGGGGGCCCCTCGATGGCTCCTAGACCGGGCTCGAACAGGTCCTGGAAGTCGCTCAGCAGGGATTCCAAATCCCCGGTTGACAACTTGGCTAGGGACTCTTTTACCGTTCTGACCGCCCGCTCTGCCAATCCATTAGATTGTGGGTGATACGGGGCGGTTTTTAAATGCTCCACGTGATTTCGTTCCAGGAACTCGCCAAACTGCTGACTAGTAAACTGAGTCCCTTTGTCTGACACAATCGCACGTGGTAAGCCGAATCGGCTGAACATCTCTCTGAGCTCCCTTATGGTGGCTTCAGTGGTGGCCGAGCGCATTACGCATACTTCGATCCACTTAGTGTGT